GAACAGGTAATTGAAAAAGGACAAGAGAAGAAGATACTAATTAAAAAAGAATCCAGGTATTTGGTACCTGATACATGTCGGATACCAATCATCTATACGTTACCCAAAAATTCATACAGATAAGTTGAATCCGCCTGGAAGGCCGATTGTTAATGGTATAAACTCTGTGGGAGCTCGTTTAGGTCAATATATAAATCACTATCTCCAGCCATTAGTTCTTAAAACACAATCATATTTGAGGGACACAAAACATCTCATTCAATTATTAGAGACAGTGCAATTAGATTCCCCCCCAGTCTTTCTGGCAAGTGCAGATGTCTCATCACTATATACTATTATTAGTCATCAAGATGCCATGGAAGCCATGGGGTGGGGATTGAGAGAACTTGGAGATTTTGAATGGTCACAAAGGAAATTTTTATTAGATTGTTTAGAATTTGGGTTAGAACACAATTATTTTTGACATCAACATAAGTTTTACAGCCATATTAAAGGAGTAGCAATGGGAGCACGCTTTGCCCCAAATGTAGCAAATTAATTCATGGCCCACTGGGAAAGGGAGGCCATGAACTTACAAGTCGACCTCAATGTACTCTTTAATTGGGCAACTATGAGGCAAATGAGGTTTAATGCTGATAAATGTAAGGTTATGCACTTGGGGGGCTAAGAATATGTATGCATCATACATACTGGGGGGGGTACAACTGGGGGAATCAATGGTGGAGAAGGATCTGGGGGTTCTGATAGATCACAAGCTTAATAATGGCATGCAATGCCAAGCTGCGATTTCTAAAGTGAGCAAAATCCTCTCGTATTAAAAGAGGTAAAGACTCCAGAGAGAGAAATATCATTTTACCCCTGTACAAATCATTAGTAATACCTCATCTGGAATGTGCAGTTCAGTTTTGGGCACCAGTTCACAAAAAGAATATTAGGGAACTGGAGACAGTGCAGGGAAGGACTACTAATATTGGGGAACTGGAGACAGTGCAGGAAGGCCTACTAAACTAATAAGAGGCTCAGCTATAAGGAAAGATGTAAGGAATTGAATTTATTCTCTCTTGAGAAGAGGTGATTAAGGGGGGATATAATCAACATGTATAAATACATCAGTGGTTCATATAGTGAACACGGTGTAGAGTTATTCACCCTGAGGTCATCACAGAGGAAAAGAGGGCATGCTGTGTATCTGGAGAAAAAGAGATTTAATCTCCAATTGCGGAAAGGTTTCTTCACAGTAAGCTGTGAAAATGTGGAACAGACTCCCTCAAGAGTTGGCTAAGGCCAACTGAGTAGATTGCTTTAAAAATGGCCTGGATTCTTTCCTAGATACACAGAATATAACTGGATACTAACATTTATAGGTAAAGTTGATTCAGGGAATATCTGATTGCCTCTCGAATGATCAGAAAGGAATTATTTCCCCTGCAGGAGCAAATTCGATCAAGCTTTGCTGTTTTCTTTTTGCCTTACTCTGGATAAACTATGGGTATAAGATTATAACTTTTTTTTTTTTTTATGGTTGAACTGGATGGACTTTTGTCTTATTTTCAGCCAGACTAACTATGTAAATATGTAAGGTAGGTTCAGTAAGGCAGCCCATATATTAGTAATTTTTTTTTGTTCAACCAGCAGGTTAAACGAAGAAATATTACACAATTCTCCAATCCAGATATTCAAGGTACTGATCAGTGTATTCTGACAGCAGAGTAGTCTAGCTGTTAAGCTGCCCATAAATCAATCAGTGGTTGAACAGAAAACTGACCTGATTCAAGTGTGGAATCCTCCCTGTTGAGCCTTTGTGTTCTGACAAAAGAGAGACTCCACCCCCCCACCCGCCATCACAATACACTGATACTATAGCCTGCGGCACTGATTGAGCAGGGGAACTCTGATAGGGCAGTTGCACAGTAGTCGATCAGTAGATCGACGTTTGTACAATCTCCCTGCACATACATAGATCACAATTTGATTGGTCCCTGCTGAATTTCTATTCATGTATGGCCAGCTTTAGAGTACAATATCAGAGTGGGAAGGATTTCTCCACCCACCTTGCTTTTGTGGATGTGGAAATCAGTTTGGTCTAGTTGATCAGCCCACTGGTGATCGAAAAAAAAAACAAATTATCCGTGTATGGCCAGCCTTACACTTGCACTCCATATGTTATGTGTTCCATGTGTCTTTTTTTTCAACAGGTGCCCTTTTTTTCTGATTATGTTTATGCATCTGTGCAACTTATGCACTATTGCCTCCTCACTGTCTGTTTTAACCCATATAAAACCTTCATCACAACTGCATATGGAATTCATCACATTTGGTTCTACTACCTGATGAGTAGCCTGTATAACACCCTGTATAACTTTTGCCCCGTCTGCTGCCTATGCAGCTTAAAGGGGGGGGCAGTAAAAACATAGCGAGTTGAACCTCCCCAGAAAAAAAAAAAATATCTACGGCCCTGCAGTAAATTAATGTGGAAATTTGTCAGAAGTAATTATTGTTAACTGTAATGCACTGCGCTACCTTTCAGATATGGTCAGCAGGGTTACAATTACCGATAATGATATCATTTTTGTGTGCCAGCCTCCTCACTATAACAGGGTGTGTAGCCATATGTTAGTGTGTGTTTGAGTAGTTTAGTTAGTATTAAAGAGAGGTGACAGTCTGAGGAGGTCAATTTTTCTTTTCTTTTTTATTTACTAGGGCCCTTTTAAGTTCATGGTCCACAGTGCCGTAGCCCCCATTAAATTGAGAAAATCTTCTTTACTAAAAATATCTGACAGGCCTGAAGTGAGGGACAGAAACTATGCATACATGTAGAGGGTGACTAGGTTCTACAGGACAAAGTAGCAGTCAGGCAGCACCATTTAGAAGCAAGGCACACCAGCCTTGTCTATCTAAGAGTGGACATGTAGCCATAGCGCAACTTGTACTAATGTATTCACTTCTTCCTCCTCCAACTCTTCTGCTAATCCTACCATAGATATCAGACAGAGAGCAGCAAGTGGCAAGAGGCAGTGATGTTTCAGTAGCTAGAACTTACTGCACAGTAGGCACCAGTGATGAGGAGGTGGTGGATGAGCACTATTGCATGGCCACCCTATTAGTACCATATCACAGGGTATATCAAAGTGTCTCAAAGGAAGCCTGGAAAGGTCCTGTTTGGGATTTATATATATCCAAGGCTCCTGTCCTACACCTTTTGGGACTTCTGATAATCTGTCCACCCTGGGTTTTGTACCTCTCCAGGCACGCAATTTAGGATCACCACTTTTTGTGGAGGCTGAAAAGTGTTCGGCTTGGACAGCCTGATAATTAGGACTGTGACTGTGTAGCTAGTGTCAAGACACAGGATTTTGTTTTTGAACGGTTTCTTTTTTGGAGCACTGTACAGTACTTGAAAATAGCACAAATAAACACACCACTGGCTGCCATTACATCACTGGACTGGTACCCGTGCCTGAAAGAATTGCTCACCCCAGGAAGCATTATACCCGCTACCTATCTCCAGCTAGGGGTGAAATTATTTATCTACTGCCCCCATCTCAGAAGGGGTTCATTATGTGCCACTTTAAGGTGGTGCTGTGTAAGAATCTCTTTGCCATGTTTCCTGATAGTGGCAGGATCCCATTTGATAACCAATGCGCCTCAGAATCTCTGACCTCTGAAAGTGGGAACAGCAGTTCCAGGTGCCTCATTGCAGTTTTTTTAAACCACAGTGGACAGGCTAGTTACAAGCAGCACCTGAACCACATGATTGCTGACTACATCAGGTTCAGGCATAATAAAGGCACTTTCAGAGTGAAGAATCCATAGACTATTGGGTTTCCAGATTGGACCCCTGGCTGGAGTTCACACAGTATGTGCTGAAGCATCTGGCTTGTACTGCAGCCAGGAAGTGCAGCAAATGGTTTTGATATGGAGAGGTGCATGTCCTCTGACAGTGTGGACCACCTCACTTTCATTAAGTGACCTATATTCTTGGATTACCATTGACTACAAAATCTAAATTGCTTATGCTATAAAATAAATGTGTATTACCCCCCCCAATATGCTTGTCACCATTATCAGATACTGTCCCCTCTCGTGGCCTATTTTGGTGCTCTGAGATTGTAAAGTTTCCACACAAGCTTGCTTTCTAATGTTTGCTGCAGGATAAATCCTGAATTGCACCTCAAAGTTTGTGGTCTAGTCTGGTGCAGGGGCGGACTGACCATTTGGAAACTTGGGCACTGCTCGAGGGCCCAGGGTCAGTAGGGGGCCCCATGAGATGCCCCTTGTACATTTTTCATAGGCTTTTTTGAGTTTGGGCAAGGACACAGGGGCCCCATGATCCCCTATTGAGTTGTCAGTCTGCCCCTGATCTGGTGCTGCAGTACTGTAAAGATGCCGCACAATGTTTCTGCAGTTTAAGTTCACATGCCAAATTTCTATTCTTTGCTGCAAGGAAAATCCTGTAATGCACCTCACAGTTTGTGGTTCAAAATTATTTGTGGCTGTTTCTCAGATAATACCTGCATTGTTTCTCCCTTTTAAATTGCAGCCTTTTCAAACAGCTTACATACTGCCAAGACACAGTAGAATATTTGTGGCTATTGTCTCTCAAATAATGCACTTCAACCACCTCCTGCACGCCATGTAAGGAAATGACGGGTGGGTGGCGGCTCTCTCATTCTGGGAATGACATCCTCCCTATAGGATCAGGTATTAGAGTCCAGGATGTGCATGTGCATCAAAATGAAGCTAGGAGAGCAGAGTTGGATGTAGGAGGTGAAGGGGGCGGTAATGCATTTCGGAGCTCCTTCTTCAGACCTCTATTGGCATGCTCTGAAATGCATTACCTCCCCCTTCACCTCCTACATCCGACTCTGCTCTCCTAGCTTCATTTTGACGCACAGGCACATCCTGGACTCTACTACCTGATCCTATAGACATAGAGTTTGCTGCTGGACGGCTGGATGTCCCACCTGGATCTATTACCCCACGATGAGTCTTTTTAACTATTTATCTTGTAAGTCAAGGCTTGAAAAAAGCCACTCGCCCACTTGCCAAATGCGAGGAAAAATTCCTGTGCGGCGAGCACAGATGATGGATGGAGCAGGTGCACCTGCGCTCCAAGCCTCATTGTGAAGCCGAGTTCCGGTTTCCAACTTCTGGTTTCCGGCTTCTTCAGCACCGCCATTACACTGGCAGCGCCGCTGAGGGGACAGGTGCAGGAGAGGTCCGTTCTCTCCTCTGCTGAGAGGAGACACCCTCTCCACCACCGCAGGGGACTCAAGGAGAGGTCCACTCTCCACCGCCGCGGGGGACCTTGAAGTATTTTTGGGTATGGTCTGTGGAATTTTTGTTCAGTTTATGTATGGTTATTTGTACATTCTTTGTGTACGGTTAGAGGTCCATCCTCTACTCCTACAGTTTTTATAAAGTTTAATCTTTTATTAAACACCCTATTGTACATGTTGTATAGCTTTTAGTAGTACCTGAAAACTTGCATAGTGCTTTCTCTTGGTGTCTGTACTCAATACGGTAATAATAATATGCCATGTTAGCCATAGATAGTAGAAAGGATGTGAAAATGTAAGCAGCACCTTTTTGCTAGCTAACCTAATATACTTTAGTGCAAGATTTTTAGAATACAGAGTTGTCTTCACCAGGCATGGTGTCATACCTTTACACATCAGTGATATGAACATACACATAGTATATGCAACAAATGATCACCATGGGATGCCTCTGGCAGTCTGCCAGGATTCGGTGACAATTGTCCTATGTCTATGGATAGACCTTACATCCAGTTATTAACACGTTGTGTCCTTTTTTAATACTTTAATGGCAGAAAATGTGTTATGTGACTTTCTAATATAATAACAGAGATGCTGTGAATACACATTACACATTTACATAGGTGTCATAAATTAGGTTCTAGACTTAGTCTGGCCTCTTATCCACTATGAGACTTGATTATGTAAACCAGCTTTCTATTAGACTCTATTCTAAAGAAAAATGTAATTTCATAAGCTTTAAGGGGGCGTGGTTGGGGGCAGGGCTGGGAGCGGGTTGCAGGCGGTCCAGGGGTGGGGTTGGAGGCGGACCTGGGCAAGGTTGGGTGGGGCAACTAGTGGAGAGTAAGGTTTCTGCCTGGCTAGTAGGTCTAGACTAAAAATTTTAAGCCCTGTTGTAAGTGCAATTTATCCATTGTTTACTAAATAAATTGTCAATACTGCAGTTAGAGGTGCCTTCCTCTCTTTTTCTTGAGAGGCATGTTGAGTCCATGGAAGATTTATTTTTTCCCACAAGTTTCTGGAAACTGACAAAGACATTTTTTTTTTTAAGCAAAGTTATTTAAGTTATATATTTCTCACACAAGCCATGGGTATATGTGAAATTATACCCAAAAATACATTCTGCTACTTCTACTGAGTATGGGGATACCACATGTGTGAGACTTTTTGGGAGCCTAGCCACATCATCCAATGACCACTTTGAAAGCCTGAAAGTGTGTAACTTCCTCATTTCACTTCCTCAATACCTATCACAGTTTCGAAGGTCCTGAAATGCCAGGATAGCACCAAACCCCCCTAAATGACCTCTTTTTGGAAAGTAGATACCCCTAGGAATTTAAAAAGAAGCATGGTAAGTATTCTGAAGATCTAATTTTTCTCACAAGGTTTTGAAATATAAAAAAAAGAAAAGAAAAAATATATTTTTTGTTTTTTTTCTTCATTTTCCAAAAACTTGTGGCAACAAACAAGATCTGCAAAATACTCACCATGCTTATCAAATTCTTTGGGGTGTCTACTTTCCAAAAAAGGGGTCATTTGGGGGGATTTGGTGCTATCCTGGCATTTCAGGGCTTGATACTTTGTCAGGAAGTAAAGGAAATAAAGCCCTTTAAAAGCCTGATGGTGCTTATTGGATTTTGGGGTCCTGTACTTGGCTAGACTGCCAAAAAGTCTCTAACATGTGGTACCCCCATACACGGGAGAAGTATCAGAATGTATTTTAGGGAGTAATTCCACATATACCCATGGCATGTGTGAGCAATAAATCATTTAAATGACAATTTTGTGTAATAAAAATATTAAAAACATTGTTTGTCATTTTCCAAAAACTTGTGGTAAGAAAATAAATTCTTCTGTTGATTCAACATGCCTCTCAGCAAATAGTTTGGGGTGTCTACTTTCCAAAAAGGGGTCGTTTTGGGGGGTGGGGGCATTTTATGCCCAGCATTAGAAGTTTATGCCACACATCACTCACTCTTCTAACCACCTAAAAATCTAGCCTTTTCTGACACTTTGTTTACATGAAAAAAATCTGTATTTTTTGCTAGGAAAATAATTTAAACCCCCAAACATTATATATATTTTTTAAAGCAAACAACCTAGTGAATAAAATGGTTGGTGCTGCAATTTTTTAGGTCACATAGTACTCGAGCAGCGATTTTTCAAACGCAATTTAAAAAAACAATACACTTTTTTTTACTTTTATTGCACAAAAACACAATATACAGTACATTATAAAAGATTATGGTATCCAGAGTAAATAGATACCAAACATGACATGCTTTAAAACTGCGCATGCCCCGTGCAATTGCGACAAACTGCATACGTTTTTAATATCCATAGGCAACATTTTAAAGGCCTATACAAGCTACCATTTTAGATTTACAGAGTAGGTCTAGTGTTAGAATTACTGCCCTTGATCTGACGTTCACTGCAATACCTCACATGCATGGTACAACCACTGTTTACATATCACCACAGGGTCAAAGCTCGCCCACACAGGTGAGCGTGCGTGGGGTGGGCAAGGGTGTTTTTTTTTTAAGTTATTTTGATTTTTTGAATTATCTTTACACTGTCCCTTTCATTTTTTTTTTTTATCACTTTTAATGCTGTCAACAGGAATGCAAATATCCCCTATAACTTCAATGGGCATTGTCATATATTCTTTTTTGAGAAATATGGGGTGTATCAGACTCTAGATATCTCCTCTGCCCTTACATTATCTAATCTCACCAAGATCGGTGTGATCAGATGGTTTCCCAATTTACAAATGGCGCTCTTTATATCCTGCGAAACTGAAGTGATGAAATGCTCGTAGCTTCCGATTTCTTAAGCTATAGAGATGATTGGCACCATTCTGGTCTCCAATCAGCTCTATGGTCAGCTGGCAGAAAAACCGGCTGCATTCTCAGGTTCCCTCGATAGCACAGGTCTGCCCGAGAAGGCCGTGGAAGGCAGCGGGGGAGCATCATCTCCAGCTGCTTGTAAAAGCAATCCTGCAGCTAATTAGCCACTAGGATTGCTTTTACATGAAATCCGATTGCCGGCTGAAAAAAAATTATACCAGGATGATGCCTGCAGCTGTAGGCATCATCCTGGTATAACCATTCAAAGTCCAGTGATATACCAGTACTTTGCTGGTCCTTGTTGGGTATATATGCTATGGTTTTTTTTTTCTTTTGTATGCAGCCTGTGGGCTGAATGAAAAAAAGAGAAGACATCTCTGCCAGAAAAAAGTGTGTGGTATGCCCACCATTAGAATATACCTCCCTACATCCACCCACTTCTAATGGTGGGCACACATTAGATCACACAGTGCAACATGTACAAGTTCCAAGATTGTACAAATGTCTAAATAGTGGCACGCTTGAATAAACATTGTCCACGTATAAGTGGTACCCCATATGGAAAAAGGATGACAACAAGTCCCAAACTATTTTGCCACTACTCCCCATGTAGTCTGGGCATCCGGGGGGCTCCACATGACTATATTTTCCCTCGTAAATCCAAAACTTATATGTATAGCCTGTTGCTCTCTCACAGGTCTTCTACATCTTGATCGAATATCTGCCATCCTTGCTGGGGAGAAATTGTTTGAATGAAAGGTGGCCAGAAAAATTAATGAGGGACTCATCAACGCAGATTTTTTGCTGGGCTGTATAGACATCTGCAAATTTTTGGTTAAGGTGATTTACGAGGGGCTGAATTTTGTGGAGCCGGTCAAATTCAGGGTCACCTCAAGGATGACAGAGTGTATTGTCGTTTAAATGCATAAAATACATTATACTCTCATATCTACAGTATGCCTGGCCATGGCAGCAGAGAACACGGGCATATGATGAATCGGGTCTGCGGACCAATACAACTGCAATTCATTTTTTTAGTAATGCCCATGTTGAGGGTAAGATACAAAAAAAAAATTAAATTCGGAAACCGTAATGGGTTTCCATGTGAGTGATCTGGCAAGGTTAGAATTTGGGTTGGCGGCGATAAACTGTTGTGCATATAAATTGCTTTGATCCACAATCAATGCATACAGATCTTTTGTGAAAAACAGCTCCAAAAAATCAAGGGGAGTAGTTAAATTTGCTGTTTCTACCTGAATTCTGGGTTGGGCAGTGAATGGGGGAAGTACGGGTGCTGCAAAATTTGTGGGCTGCCAATCAAGATTTGCAAGCACATCCCAAAGGATCCTATGGGCTCTACAGGCCTGTGTGTGAATTCTTGGTGGTGCGGGACAATACTTGTGCTCGCCACCGCACCATCTTGTACTGCACTTATGGGACTCGCCACGTCACCAAGTGATACTATAGTGCTGGTATGTGAAAGACCAGGATGTACTAGGCCGCTGGTGCTCGCCAGTTCACCAAAAGATAGCGTGGCACTAGTACTGGCATTCTGCTGCATATGAGAGTCATCAAAATTTACCGGCAAGTGCTAGCAGAGATCAGGCCTCATTCTGTGAACACTGTGGTTTTCTGTGCAATGTATCAAGTGACAGTGACCTACTGAAACTGCACTTGCTGGGGGAGAAAGGGGGGGGTACGCGTAGGGGCTAAATGCAGGTGCTGGGGCTGATCCCACTAACGCTGCATTTTTGGGGACGCTATACTAATGTGAACACTGGCATAGTGCTGATCTGATCAAAGATACTGATCCGTTCAGACACTATATTAGCAATGGAGGATTATTGTGTATGAGCATGTTCCTGGCAGTCAAGGGGTTAAATGTGATTATTGGTGTACTGAGGGGCAATCTGAGGCTATCTGGGAGGAGCGTGAAAACCATGGAGAGCGCGAATCACATATACATGTGTGATTTTGCGCACCTGTGCCACCCTGTAGCAGTATTTCTGCTATAGGGTGGTCAGGAAGTTGTTACAGAAGCAGTTTGTGTTACAGCGCTGCGTTACTTTAACTGACAATTGCGTGGTCATGCAGTGCTGCACCAAAATGAAATGTATGTCCTTTTTTCCCCACAAATTGAGCTTTCTTTTGGTGGT